CTTTTGAGCAAGTACGGCATAGTAACTATTTTAAATAAAACACTTCGTTGACAGTGATCAAGATAGATTGTAGTGGGGAGACAGTAGATAGGAAGAGAGACCAGGGAAAGTATTTCTCTATTTGCTGATTTTAATAGGAAAATTTAAATGTTCAGAATTTTTCTAATTTATCCTATTTTCAAACTAAATATACTTTGCAGTTCTTTATACTACAATATAAACATTTTGAACTCTTAAGATTTCAGGCTAAAATTCAATTTGTGTTTCTTCTCACCTTGAATAACAAAGAGGCACACTGTGTAATGAATGGATAACCGAGCCTCTGACCATTTGTCCTAGGACAGGCTGATGCAGTTGATGCCAGAGTAAGTGGGTAGCTACATGAAGGGAAGAGGTTTGTGCAAAATGAGTACGTGAAGGTCTCCTCACCTTGAAGCTCTGGATTCCTGGGACTCAGGGTCAATCTTGCTGGGCAATAGACATGAAAATGGACACTGGCCCATGTGTCCCGTGGCCTTCTGAGAACCGGTATATGGAGGATAGAGAAAAGTTGGACAGTTAATGAAATGCAGTATTCTATACTGTTATCATTCAACCATCTGTTCCTTCATTTAGCAGAAAAGTGAGTGTATTTACTATAAAGAGACTTGGCATTTTAAGCTTATCTAAGAAATAAGAAGACACCCTGAAATATGTCCCTTGGGTAACTAGACATCTGCTTAGAGAGATGGGACTGATGAGCCTATGTTAAGATAGATGCGTCTGATTTTGAATCCTACCAGTTGGCTAGGGAACCCAAGCTCAAAACTGGGGCCCTCTTAGTGTTGAGGAATAGGGTGTGACCTCATTCCTAAGGAATAAGAAATCAAAATGGAACAAAGTCGGGCAGATCAAAGAAGTGGCAAGGGACTTTAGAAGATCAGAAAGTAGCTCCCTAAACTCTGGAGTAATTGGCTTTATATTATATTTTCATCCTGTCTTATCTCTGATCTGGGAAGTGGCTACCAGGCAGCCAAGTGGGGGAAAGCGGAGCAACGCAGTGATGAAGGGCTAATTGAGGCAAGGGAGGTCAGGAGCATGAGTAGGGGTGGGGAGCAGTGGACACACCTGCCAATGGGCACGAATCTTTTCCTGTGAAGAGAATGTTGTGAGATAAATTAAGTGAAATTTTAGCAGTTATGAAAAATTTTACCTTTGTTTACATTTTAAACTACTAGAAATAAGGTACAAATTAAGCACTTTTTTTTAACGAAATCTTATCTCACTATTATTATGTCAAGGCTCTGTTCCCATGAGAAGGCTTAGGGACATTTTCTCCAGTGTAAAGTACAAATCATACTTAGGTATCCTAATAATCATTTTAAATAACTTTATGTTTTAATACTATATAGTTTGTATTAATTACTAGCTTAATTACAGGTTAAACTTGCATAATGCTTCATTTTTTTCCTTTTTTAAAAAAATGTTTTATTTATTTATTCATGAGAGTCAGAGAGAGAGAGAGAGAGAGAGAGACAGAGAGGCAGAGGCAGAGGGAGAAGCAGGCTCCCAAGGAGCAGAGAGCCCGATGTGGGACTCGATCCCAGGACCCTGGAATCACGACCCGAGCCAAAGGCAGATGCTTAACCATCTGAGCCACCCAGGTGCCCTGCTTCATTTTTTTTATAAAAACACTTTCCCAGGGCGCCTGGGTGGCTCAGTCAGTTAAGTATCTGCCTTTGGCTTAGGTCATGATACCAGGGTCCTGGGATCGAGTTCTGCATCAGGCTTCCAGCTCGGCGGGGAGTCTGCTTCTCCTTTTGTCCCTCCCCCGCCCCCCCCGCTCGTGTTCTCGCTCTCTCTCTCAAAAATAAATAAATAAAATCTTTAAAAAAAAAAAAACACTTTCCCATATATCCTCTCATCTCAGTTTCCCAATATCTAAAGCTCAGAGAGAAATTCTATTTCTCATTTTAAAAATAAGAATTCTGAAACTCAGTTTGATATTAATCAGTACTGTCTTTTATTGAATGATTAAACATAAAGGAACCATGCTATGCTCTTTATATTTATTATCTCATTTAATCTTCATGATTAAACTGAGATTGTTAACATCTCCATTTCCTCTGGTTTTAAAATACCACAAGCTGAGATTTGATTGGTTCCTAAGTCTGTGGTTTGAAATCACTACAGTTTACTGAAGATGTGATTTACCTAAGCTCACTGGGCTAGTAAGTGACAGAAGAGGAAGTAGAAATAAACTATTTACTCATAATTTTCCCATCTAACCCTACTGAAGAATTTTTATATAATGGATAATCAATCTTAAAAAACCATTGATTGCACATTGATTTTTAAAGTATACATTTAAATAGTTTGTGTAAAGAATTCTTATGTTTTTGGAAATTCTAAATATTTAAATGTTTTAAGCAACCCTGTTGTTTTTACCATTCCTTCATATATTTAGCAGAATTCATTAGGTGGAAAAGTCACATGGAAATACTTAGCTAGAATTAAAATCAAGTTACTGAGCAATTTTGCATTGAATTATAGGCATTCAGTTCAATTCAGTGAGTTAATTTTGAGTGCTTAGAGTATAATGTGCTTCAGTCTACACAAAGATAAGTAGGCAGTATCCCTCTCTGAAGAAATTTTCAGTCCTTCTTTACAGGATTATATTTAATAGATCTGAATGTTATTGAAAGAGATTGTTGAGATTCCTAAGTGTGATTTCTATTCTATTTTGGGAGAAGGATATTGGAAGAAGGAGAAATGGTTGAGCGCAGATTGAGGTATATACTCATAAAACTTAACACAAAAAAGAATCTAACAGTTACTATGAGAGAGAAAAATAAGTACATTGGCAGAGCATGAGAAAGAAATTGTCATATCATATTGGAATAGAAGGGGAATCAGCAAAGGCCTCAAAACATAGATGATGTTTGAGATGAGCCTTCATGAATGGATAGAAATCCAAAAAGCATATGAGAATAGGGCATTCACACACAAAGGGCATAGTGTAAGTGAAAACGGAGACTGTAGTTTTCCTTATACTTAGTGTGGGTGTAGACTAACAAAAGGGCACAAGACTGAAAACCGAGACCTTGTAGAAGGTCTTGAATACTAGGCTGAGATCTTTGAGAGCAGATGCAGTGGAGTGAAAGACAAATACTGGGCTGGAAGTATGAGATAGATGTGCAAATTTCAGTGGTGACATTTATGAGTTGAGTGAACTTGGGCAAATCAGTTCATCTCTTTGAGCTTTGACTCCCTCACCTGCAGTATGGTTGTAGTAGTATTAAAGGTTGAGTGTAAATTTAAAAACTTGTATGGAAGTACTCTGAAAACTGTAAAGCACAACAGGAGACAGCATGGTCATGGTCATCATCGTATTATGTATATAATGGTATGTGAAGATTTTGGAGCAGTGAAGCTTTTTATCTGCATCTGCAGTCTAGGAAAATTGAGTTGGCAGGAGTATAGTGGATGGATTAATAATAACAAAAGAAAGAGAACCAATCAGGAAGCTATTAAAGTAATTTAGGTTAAAAGTAATGAAGGTGTGATTAGAATGGTAGAGACATTGCAGAGATACTGTTCTATTTGGCATTAATTCAAAAATATACTGAGCACCCACTCTGTTCCTGGACACAAACTCGGCAGTCATGCTTAACAACCTCCTCAAAAGAGAAAACAGATGGAATGGGCAGATACTTGGGGAGCAGAGGTGAGAGGAGAGAGGGATATAGAAGAAGGTCACTGATCTTCCTTTGCTTTCCATTGCCGAGACCTCTGTAAGAAGAATGGAGAAGGGACATCTCAGATGCCTACGAGCTTAATCCCCCAAGGCACAGGTGTCATGGTGGGTGAGAGATGATAATAGGGTCAGTAAATCCTTCCAGGGTGGGTTTGACCTCTCCTTCTCCTCCCTGTCTGTGTGGGTCTGCACTATCCGAGGTGCTGAAGGAGGAGAGTTACCCCCCCAAAAAACAGGCACAAGACCACCCTCAAGAATTTCTTTGACTTAAAAAACCTGACAGAATCCCTTTTCCCCAAGGGAGGTGAGAAAATGTCTTCACCTAAAAAGAATTTCTCACTTTTCTTAAAATAGATCAACTACTGCTTCTATGCTTGCTTAGGTTTGAAAGTGGAAGGAAATTTAAAAAAATAAATAAATAAGGTTCAAACCCTCTCTCTAAACTCCCAAGTAAGTTTCCCGGTAATCAGAAATTGATTGATTCAATTTAATTGTACAATCATTTAGTGAATGCAGGTAACTTCCAGGAGATGGAACTGAAGAAGAAAACAGCAAGTGGATAAACACCGCTGCCCCCTCTCACAGTTTAGTGAAAGTATATGTCAGAAAGCATATGACAGATGATTGTGTGTTGAGCTAAAATTGTATTCTTAATACTGTGTTATAAAAATGATAAGACACTTATTTCCCTCCCTCCCTCTCTCTTTCTATTTCATACGTGTGATTTGTTTTGTTTTGTTTTGTTTTTTTACTTCTCCATGAAGGAGATTTTTATGAAGACCAAAGTGATGTGTGGGGCTTATTGGAAACTCATCCTAATACTTGTTTCTAATAAAATAAAGACTCCTCTCATAATGACCCTAAAGTCAGAAGTACTTTGTACATTTCTACAGAAACACCCTGTGAAATTTTGTGGGATTGAGTCCAAGAGAAGCAGCCCCCTTTGTTCGGCATTTTCCATAGAACTTTTACTACTAGGTTGTCCCTTTACTCTGGAGCTTAAACGAAATGAAAATAGGACAGCCTTGCAGATCTTTTTAAGATATAAAGGGAGCATGGGGATAGCCATGGAACTAAGAATTGGTAAAATTAGGAAAAGAAATCATGAAAGCGGATCTCACATCCTTTTTCAAAAAATCCCTTTCATTCTTTATTCATCTCTTCATTCCAATCCCTTCCCAGTGTTATTAAGGCAGGCTCAGATAGCTACTGACTTTAAATACTCCCTATATTACAATGCTGTTTGTTTTTTCCCACCATTTAGGAGATGACCTGGCTTCCACCACTTTCTGCTATTCCAGCACCTGGCAAAGTGGAACCAAGCAAATTTCCATTTCCAAATAAGGTGAGATCTTGTAACACTCAGGAGCAGTATGCTTTACTCACACGGATTTTTTAGTGGATAGTGGGTTTTCCCGTGATTGTTTTTCCCTCTGTAAATATTCCTACCAGAGGCATATGGCTGATTTTCAACAATTTGCAAGCATGTATTTATTCATCAAAGGGAGAAAATTAAGCTTCCACTTCCCTACTTTTGGCAAAATGTGATGCATATTATAATTGTCATTTTATCTAAAAAAAATTGTGAAGTTAAAATGCATCATACAATCCTTCTTATATATTCAGTGTGATTTTCTTTTTTTTCCTGAAAAGCTGTTATTAAATTAATGATGTATCTTAAAATCAATGTCTTAGAATTGAGGACATGTAGTATATAATTCCTCTTCGGTATCTTTTATAAACCTTAAAATATTTTCTAGGACTTTAAAAAACAAATTTCCATTTTCTAAGGACAAGCACACACTCAAAAAATCAGCCACAATATATTTAAATTATACATGAGTCTAATAGGTTTTATTTTATGATTTTTAACCATACAACTAATATATAACTCCATATTCATAAGGAGGAAATTATGACGATAGAAAGAGCAAAATATGAAAGTGTCCAGTACCCGCATCCAAGTTTTATTTCCCTACCCAGAATTTACTCTCAAGAGTTTGGTGAATACCATTCCACTCATCTTCCCTGTGCATGATATACATATACATTCATATGCAGTTTTTAAAAACTCTTAGACGGTATAGTTCTAAAAGCATTTCTTCTAAGAGTTGATTTTTTTGATACCATGAATACATATTATTGCTAAATATTAACACTGCAACCTTTTAAAGTGAATTATTAAAATAACAATTCATTATAATTATCACAGTGGCAAATTTCATTCTAAGCTGATTTTTATTTCCCTCAACAAAGTGTATTTGGAGATCTTTCCAAGTAAATATATAGAGATGTTCTTCATTCTTCTTAATTGCAGCAAAATATTTTGTGGTATGAATTTGTAGTAGTTTATTTAGTCGAGCTCCTTTTGATGGACACTGAGATGGGTTATGGTTTGTTATCACAAACACTATTACAACCAGCATTATTTATAAATGCCTTTTTGTATGCCTCTTATTGAAAGTCTCTAGAATAGATACCTAGAAAGAGGGTAGGTACTGGAGGCATGAGAAACCATAGTTAGCCTTGACTGTGTTTCAACAGTACTTCTTTATGCATCTTTGCCAATGTTTAACATTATCTGGCTTTATATCATTGTGTCTGTAGTGTGGGTGAAAAATTGATATCCCATTGTTTTAATTTGCATTTCTCCAATTACTTCTGAGTTTGAGCATTGACTGTTTTTCCTTTACAAATTGCGCGTTCATATCCATTACCACTTTTAAAAAAAATGATTTGTACAAACTCCTTATATCTTATCCATTTGTCTGTTATATATGATGCAACTGTTTTCTTGCAACCTTATTTATGTACCTTTTATACTAGCAAAGTGTTTAATTTTTATGTCAGAGAAAAATGATTTTTCCTGCTCCAACATTCTAACAATGTTCTGTATTTTATTATCATTTTTTATAGTTTGATTTTGGGATTTTAAAACAATTTTTTGTAGATGGTGTAACAAAGGGTTCTAGCTTTATTCTTTTCAGCGGTTAGTAAATTATTGTTAACACTACCAACTGATTAGCCCATGTTCCCCCTACTGGTTTGAAATACCACCTAAATCAACAACTGAATTTCTCGTAAATACATGGATTTGTTTCAGGACTCTCCAGCCTCTTTTTTTCAGTATATTTATCTAATTCTTTCTCAATAACTCATTTTTAAATCAGAGGTCAACAAGCTTTTTCTGTAAAGGATCAGTTTGTAAATAATTTACCTAAATGAATAAATGTGACTAGGTTCAGGTAAAATGTTCTTTATTGAAACAGGTAGTGGCACGATATATAAAGAACTCTTACAACCCAACAATAAAAAGATAACTCATTTTAAGAATGGGCAAAGGATTTAAATAGACATTTCTCCCAAGAAGGTCTACAAATGCCTGATACGTATATAAAAATACCGTATCACCATTGTTAATCATTAGAGTTCCAAATCAAAACCACAAGGAGATACTTCTTCACACCTACTTAAATAGCTAAAATCAAAGACAAACAATAACCAGTGTTGACAAGAATACTGAGAAATTGGAACCCTGCTATCTGTGGCTGGTAGGATCCAAAATGGTGCGGACTCTTTGAAAGACAGTTTAACAGTTCCTCAAAAGGTTAAACATCGGGTTATCATATGACCCAGCAATTCCACTTCTCGGTATATATACCCAAGAGAACTGAAAAGGAATGCTATCAGGTGTTACATATTTATTTACTGAACTCCTTTTTTCCCGGGAGATTTTTTTTTTTTTTTTGGTGACCTTATATTTTCCAAGTGGGGGAAAACAGAATGTGTAGCAATAAAATATATGACATGTTAGATCATGATGTATAGTGAAGAAACATAAATCAGGAGAGGAAGATAATGAATGTTGATGGTGAATGGGGTTGGATGGATGAATTTTAAGTAGAGAACTTAAGAAAGACCCTCCTGGGGAGGTGACACTTGAGCTGAAGGTAGAGAAGGAGCAAGTCATGCAGACAAGTGGAGGTAGAGACTTCTGGCAGATGGAGGTGAAAGTGCATGGATGCTGGAGGAACAGCAAGAACAGTGGAGTCAGGGCAGAGAGAACCAGGCAAGGAACAGTAAGTGACACTGTGAGGTAAATGTAGTCATATTATGTTCGGACAGTAGGACCATTGAAAGGACTTGGGTTTTACTCTTAAGTGAATTGAGAAACTGTTAAAGAGTTTTGCAAATAACAAATATGTTTCATTTTACCCTTCTTATTGTGTCGATGGGAAGCTGTACATCTTTGCCATATTCCTGACATTAACAGGGATGATTCCAATCATTGAGTGTAGTTGTTATCAATAGGTATAAGAATTGCATATTGTGTGTCCAGCTCAGATAGCTTCCTTCTATTTCTAGCTTTCTGAACATTTTCATGGATTGATTTTTTCATTTTTAAAACTGAAGGTACAATTTGAAAGCAGTATCCTGCAAGTTTTGAAAAACACATATGCTCCTGAGACCACCATACTCAAGATATAGAAGAGCATTCCATCACCACCCAGAACTCCCCCTTGGTACCTTGTAGTCAATGCCTCCCGCACACCCAACCCCTGGCAATTACTGATCGGTTTTCCAGAGTATACAGAAATACAATAAGTTTGAATTTAGTTGAAACTTATTCAGTATTTATTTAGGTGTTCATAGTTTTGTTCTTTAATCTGCTAATGTAGAAAATTACATTAACAGATTGTCTGATTTTTTAATCACCTGTATATTCCTATGCTTAGTTTCCTTGAGTATGGTGTATTATTCATTTGATACACTTTTGGATTCAATATGCCAATATTTAATTTAGGAATTTTACTCCCGTGTTCATAAGTCACCTTGGTCTAGGTATCTTTTTGTGTACACTTGTTCAGTTTTGACACCAGGAATGTAATAGCCTTCTATAATGAATTCTTTAGCTTTCTGCCTTTTTCTGTATTCTGGAACATTTTACATAACATGCCAGTTTCCCCCTCCTTAAAGGCATGGAGTAACTCAACCATAAAACATACTGTCCATAGTTTTCTTTTAAGAGTAGATCTTTAATTGTATTTTCATTTTCTTCTATGCCTATTTGGTTTTTCAAATTTTCTACCTCCTCTTGGGTTAATTAATCTTTCTTTGTTCCTTTTTTTCCCCTTCAGGATTTTCAAACATATACATAATACTCTGTTTTTCTAGTAATTGCCTTTAAAATTTTAATACATTAGCCTAGTTAAACCTATTTTTATCAATACCTACAATTAACTCATATCTGTATTCTACCCCCAACAATTAGTTTTACTTTGATCTCCCTCACCGTCATCTCTCAGTTTGAGATTACAGTATTTCAAGCTGTTGTTACTATAACCATTTTTAGCATTACACCTTAACAATTATTTGTTAGTTTCTTAATTGGTCATTGTTTCTTGTGTCTCCAGCCTTCCTCTTTTTAAGATGTGCCTATTGTTTTTGCTAGAGTGTATTTTCAAGCAGGTTTTTAGTCCAGACTTGACCTAAAGTCTCTGATAGTCCTTTTCTGCACTTACCTTAATCCTTCCACGTCTCCTCTCTGTTTGTTTACTCCTTCGGTGATTTCATCCAATTATTTCATCTAATCGTTGCTTTAAATACTCTCTATGCCAAGCTTATGACTTCTAAGTTTGTGTCTCTAGCCCCTTCTCCATCCCCCAAACTCCATACTTCCTCGACATCTCCACTTGAATACCTAACAAACATCTTAAGCTTGCTATATCAAACACTGAGCTTTTAATCCCCGCCACAAGCCTTTTATCCCAGTGTATCTCGGTAAATGATTTCTCCATTTTTGCAGCTGGCTCAGGCCAAAACCCTTGGAATCATCTGTATTTGTTTTCTAAGGCACCTGTAACAAAATACACAAAGTGGGCAGCTTAAAAGAAATTTATTCTCTCATAGTTCTGGAGGCCAGAAGTCTGAAATCAGGGTGCCAGCAGGGCCATGCTCCCTCTGACGGCTCTAGGGAAGAATCCTTTCTTGCCTCTTCCTAGCTTTTGAAGACTTTCAGTGGTCTGTCACCTTCCTTGGCTTGTAGTTGCATCATTTTACATCTTTTTATCTTGTGTATCGTTCTATTTCTGCCTCTACATACACATGTCTGTCTTGCCTCTGTGTGTCTCTGTGTCTATAAGGACAGCAGTCCTTAAATTTAGGGCCCACTCTAATCTAGTGTGACCTCATCTTAACTTGATTTTACCTGCAAGAACCCTATATCCCCATAAGGTCAAATTCACAGATTTTGAGTGGACATGAGCTTTTGGAGGATGCTGTTCAATGCAGCACACCATCCTTGACCCGTCTTTCTCTCATATCACACATCCAACTCATCATTAA